TCTCAGAGTCTAGAAGAAATATATTGTAAATAACCAACAAGAATGATAAGCAATAACATCTAGACAGCATAATATGAATAGAAAAATAAGTGGCTGAGTAGAAGAAGGAGAGAGGGGATTACTGATGTCCAGAAGAAGAAAATAGTAAAGCTGTTTCTTGATAGAGAAATAGAAATTTTTCAAGTAAAGAAATGTATGTTGGTTTGTATGTGTTTAGTGGGTAAGAGTGAGGCCAGGAATAAAGCGGGAGAGTTGTTCTTTGGTATGGTTCATACTCCTTACTAATCTAAGCAGTATTAATAGAGAAAAGAGAGCCCAAAGAAGTGACTTTTTCCTAATAGAGTGTCTTTTTCCTTTTTTTTTGTAGTAAAGGTTGAGAGTTTGTTTGATGTGAGGCAGGCCATGCCACAGTGCAGACAAAGCATTTTACTTAAATCAATCTCCTTGAAGGTTCAGAGGCTAGGGTTTTTATGGACAATTTGGTGGGCAGGGGGCTAGGAAATGGGTGCTGCTGATTGGCTGGGGATGAAACGATAGTCATGTGGAAAATGGTCCTTGTGTACTGAGTCTGTCTCTGGGTGGGGCCATAGGATAAGTTGAGTCATGAACCACAAGTCTAGGTGTGGTCAATCTCAAAGATATCTCAGAAAAACAAATCTTAATTTCTTTAATAGTAATGTTCTCTACAGCAGTAATTAGGGAGTCACAAATTTTGTGACCCCTGGCCACATGACACCTTAGCAATAAAAGATTATAGAAACTATGTCTACATTTTAGCAGAATTATGTCCCTCTCATAATCCTAACCCTGTGGGCTTTCATTAGTTTTACAAAGGTGGCTTAGTTTTGGGAAGGGCTATTGTCATCCTTTCTTTAAACTATTAACTAAATTTCTCCCAAAGTCAACTCAGTCTATGCCCAAAAACGACCTAGTATAACTTGAAGGTTAGAAGCAAGACGGAGTCAACTATGTCAGATTCCTCTTGCTGTAATGACTCTTCTTTACCACCACCGTCCTCTGCAGTGCTTTGTTGTTGTTCTGAATATTATTAGTTCATAAGAAAAGACAGGACAATGTAAGATTAAATCTCTTTACATAATTAAAAAAAAAGTGTTTTGGTAAAGCTAGAAGCACTCATTTCCCAAAGAAATTGTACGTAGTATTTAACAAGCTGCTTAGTTCATCAGAATTACTCTGTTGTTGTTTTACAGTCTTGCTGAACTGGAAAGCCCACTGCCACCCTGGAGCCAGGCTACACTGAAACATTTATTGGAGCTTTAAAAATTGGTTTACAAAAAGCAAATGTTTAGTATATCATATATTAGAAAATAGCAGTAAATCTTGTTGGGATGGATGGGAACAGAACTGATATGAAAATGAGGATACTTTTGCAGTTAAAAAAACAGTGGCTGCACTCATTCTTTTCTTTGAGACTTGACAGTATTAAAAGGTATTAAGAGCTACTCAATCAAACTTGCTTTGTATATATTAACAAAAATACTTAACTAAAGAATTCCTGCTGGCAGACTGCCAAAGCTTAGGAGCCTCTGCAGAGGGGCCAAATACAATCATAATTAAACTTCGCAGTTCTGCGTCTGGCTTTGTAAATGACCAGATATATGCTAAGTACCTGATTTAGTAAATGACAAAGACAAGCACAGGGATGCACAGGTGATCAGGCAAGACAATTAAGTTAGTTTAACTGGCCTTGTCTTCTCCTTCTGCTGCTGGTCTTGCTGTCTTCCTTCTTACTCTGGGACAACTCTGGTTTACTGGAGGAGCAAGATCTGTATACTCAAGGCAAACAACCAAACCGTAGGGTGGTTTTATTTATTGGATCAGCTGTCACATCTTTTATCTAGCTTTTATTTTATCATTTTTTATGAGGCAGGGTCTCACACTGGTTGCCCAGGGTGGGGTGCAGTGGCATGATTTCAGCTCACTGAAGCCTTGACCTCCTGGGCTCAAGTGACTCTCCCAGCACTGCGTCCCAAGTAGCTGGGACTACAGGCGCACGCCATTGCACCAAGCTAATTTTTTATATTTTTAGTAGAGAAAGCATTTCGTCATGTTGGCCAGGCTGGTCTCAAACTCCTAGACTCAAGCGATCCACCTACCCTTGGCTTCCCAGAGTGCTGGGATTACAGGCTTGAGCCACTGTGCATGGCCTTTGATCTTTAAAAAACCTAGAAATAATATTGGGGGACTGGATGATTAAGGCAGTAATTTATGACTCTTGGGAACTCAAAATACTTTACAAGGTAAGGGGTTCCTAAGAATTGTATTACCACTTTCAAACTTACAGATGTGAAGATCCAGGCTTGCTGGTCTGTGGGAAGATGAGACAGATGGTCCAGTATATAAAATCACCCTACGATTTGGTTGTTTGTCCCTGAGAATACAGATTTTCCTCCCTTGGTAAACCAGGATTGTCCCAGAGCAAGAAGGAAAGCAGTAACACCAGCAGCAGAAGGGAAGACGAAGTTGGAAGCGTAGGTAGATGGGACAGGGGCTGGAAGCCCCTTCTAAATCATAGGGGTCAAAAACACCACTGCTGAAAGATGAATGAGGCACAAAGTTACAAGGAAAGAGGATGATCCTAGAAAAGAAAAGGGACAAGTCATAGAAGATGTGGCATCGGGGAGAAGCAGCTGGGCTCTGAGTACCCTGGGAAGTGAGCAATGCAGAGATGGTGAGTCTGGACAGCAAGAGTTAAGAATCCAGGCTGGGAACCTGGGAACAGAGCAGATAAAAAGTACCGGATATCAGGAAGGGGAGGCAAATACAGAAATAGCAGTTTAAAGAACTTTGGCTGTTATTCTGAATGAGATATGAAGACAAGAAGAGCTTAGGACAGCGAACGGACATGGCCTGACTTGCTTAAAAAGGATCATCCTGACTGCCATTTTAGGAGAATTTATGTTGAAAAATGTACATCAAATGTCAGAAGCACAAGGACAAGCATGGAAGCTATGTTAATAATTTTGGTGCAAGATGATGGTGGCTTGGACCAGATAGCAGAGGTGAGGATGACAACAAGAGACCAAATTTTTGACATTTGGAGACAGAGCTACTATCATATTCCAACAAGCTAATGAGAGAAAGAGAGGGAGGGGAAAAGATAACAATAAAATGTTAGTCTAAGCAAATATGAGGTTGGAGCTGCTGTTTACTGAGAATATGAGAGAAAAAACAAATATGTGTATGGCTATGCCAAGTTTGGGATGTTTATTGGACTTCCAAGTGGCAATGCCAGGTAGACAGTAAGACATACTCTTCAGGAAGTCAAGGGAGAGATCTGAGCTCGAGATATTTTTGGAAATAACTATTTGGTAAATAAAAGAGTATAATGGGATTGTTTGAAACAAAAAGAATAAGCACTTGAGGTGATGGGTGCCTATTTACCCTGACGCGATTATGTGTTATGCAATGCATAGCATTGCGTGCCTACATCAAAATATCTCAGGTGTTTCATAAATACATACATCTACTATATACCTACAAAAATCAAAAATTAAAACAAGAAAATAACCTATTTTGCAGATGGTATTTAAATCCACGAAAATGAGTGAGATCACTAAGAGAATAAGCAAAGATAAGAGAAAAACACAACAAACACTGAGCCTTGAACAAAGTATTCTAATGCTTAGAGGCTGAGAGATAAGCAGGAACTCACAGATGAAATGGAGAAAGACCTGCTGTTAAGGTAGTTAGAAAACAAAGACACTGTGGGGTTCTGGACTTCAGGAGAAGAAAGAACCTCAAAAAAAAATGTGGCAGACCAGTGAGTTGAATGGAGCCAACAGAATGAGTGAGAGGAGGCCTGAGCCTGACCATCAGTGAACAGGAAGGACACCGAGCAGCAGAGTGTTGATGGAAGAGTGGAGGGGTGAACCCAGCTGGGGAGAAGCTGAGACAGAATGGAAAGAGAGACATGGCAAACAGAAATACATGAAACTCCTTCATGAGGGTATTGGATGTAATCAGATGTAAGGAAAATTATGCAAAATATTTAAGAGATCACGATAAAATTAAGTGGGAAAAATTGATGTACTCATTAAGGGTTCCCTAGAAACAGGCCCTGAAAAAAAAGATTGACTGCAAAGTAACCTAGTTGGTAAGTGTAGAAAACACCAAAGGCAGGCGCAGCGGGAAAAGCAAAAGGCTGCATTATTAAGCTAGCTACTACTGTGGATCCCTGGACCTTAAACCCATGGGCAAATGCTGGGGACCAATATAAAACACACTTCAGAATGGTCCCACCCAGACACAGGAGCACGGGTATTTATGCATAATTTATTTGTTCTTGGTTGAGGGCTGCTGGGATGAGGCATTGTTAAGACCCAGTCAGTGTTAATACCCAGCCACTGTTAAAACTCCCAAACCTGCCAAATGTGAGGGTAAAGTGGTATTTCCATTTTTGGGGAAAGACTTCAAGCAAAGATGGTTACTGGCAGTTGGAAATCAACCAGAATACATCAGTGGTAACTGTCAAGGCAGGCACTCCCAGCATCTACTACGACTGATAATGGAAGAGAAAGAGGCGTGGTGGTTGCAGCCATGCAGGTAAATGGGAATGTTCTCTAGTGTGCACCTGGGAGGGCTGGCTTCAGATAGGAGCAGGAAAAGAACAAGAGGCAAAATTACATGTGAATAAGTCATGATATGAGCCTGGAAAGTTTTCTTTTGTTTGCTTCTATTTTCTCAGCAGAGTAAAAAAATAACGTCATCAGCTAAAAATGAGTATTAGGGGAAGTCGGTATAGGTAGAGGGGAGGGAAGAAGGTATGAGCAGTCCTCTAGGTGAGGAATAGGACCGTGGTGAGGGGCATGGAGCAGAGTTGCCAGGGAGCAACCCAGGCCCAGTTAAGGTTAGTGGGCATGGTCAGGTGGCTTGTGTACTTTATCCCAGGCATGTTCAACTGAAGTAGGTGCAATATTTAAGTAAATAGAGAGTTAGTTTTCTGAGTTATAGTTTAGCCAATTAAATGCAACGACACAAGAGCTGCGCACAGGAGTTGAAAATGAGTTTTAACACTGCAGGGATATCAGGGCAGTTTGAACAAAGCAACATTGGTTAGATCACTGGATTGTGAGTTCTTCGTGCTGAGCATTATCAGAAGTCAGTGGCGTGGGGTGAGGAAAAACCCAATTGAGGAGTGGTAATAGAGGAAGTGAACTATGAAGGTAAGATGTCGTTACTGGAAATGCAATTGTAATATTGGGGTTCAGGGGTTCAGGGTGCCTTCAGCTCCCCTGAGAGGATGTTTCTCCAGGTTTTTGGTCTCCTGCCCTCTCAAGAATGAGAGAGGGGTCCACGGCACAGTGCGCAGTAAATGGCAGACTCAAAAGTGTTTGTAGAAAGTGATTTATTTAAAACAGAGAGAGAAAAAGGAGGAGAGAGAAACAACTAAGTCTCACAGTGAGTGAGAGAAAGAAAAGCAATTCTCACACTGGTGAGAAGGGTTACCAGAGGGGGAAAACCAGAGAAGGAAAGATCCTCTCACACTGAGTGAGAGAATCCAGAAAGACGGAATCCAGAAGAGGAAAGACAGCTTCCACACTGAGTGGAAGGGAATAGAGAGAGAGATGGCGTTTAGGAGAGGGAAAGCAGCTACCACGAGAGAGTGTTCGTGGAAGGGAACCCAAACATGGTGTCCATGGGGGTGTGGAAGAAGGGGACTTTTAACCTGGGAGGAACTCCCACCTTCTCTAAGATCCCTGGCCAATGAAAGGAGTTCCTTAGAACTTCCGCTGGAGTGATTGACTTTTAGTTTCTTCCCTTGCCTTCGAAATTTAAACATAAACCGTTAAATCTCCCTGATGGAGAGAGATGAGAGGGAGCATGGCTCTGGGAAGTTCTTACTCTTAAAACTATGCCCCTTGTGGACATGGAAAGAGAACACCTTCCCTTATAATCTTGAAGTTGAGTTTGTAGTAGGTGTCTTAGTCTATTTTTGCTGTTATTGTTGCTTATAACAGAATGGCTGAAACTGAATAATTTATATAGAAAAGGACTTTACATCACATGGCTATGAAGGTGGAGAAGTCCAGGGTTAACAGGCTGCATCTGGTGAGGGTTCTTTCTGTTGGTGGAGACCCTCTGCAGATTCTTGAGGCACACACGACATCACATGGTGAGTGGGATGAGCATGCTAGCTCAGGTCTTTCTTCCTTTTTTTATAAAGTCAGTTCAACTCCCATGATAGCTCACTATTCCATTAACCCGTTAACTGATTAATCCATGCATGGGTTTTTCCACTCATGAGGACAAAGTTCTCAAGACCCAATTTCCTCTTAAAGGCCCCACTTCTCAATACTGCCATATTGGGGATTAAATTTTAACATGAGATGTGGAGGAGACACACATTCAAACCATAGTGATGTGTTTAAGTGATAGGTAAGGATAAACTCTTGAGAATGTTGATGGGTGTGAGTAGCTGAAGTTGGGTACAGAACATAAGGGAGATTGTGCAATTTAGCGGCTGGAGCGGCAAGGATCATCTGCTTGTATGTTGAAATCACTGTTAATATTGACAAGAGTGAGTCTAGAGAGTGGACAATGAACCCAGGCACTAAAATCTTGAAGAGATGATCAGAAGTGACCTCTCTGGTTTACAAATGAATGTATGCAGGAGGGGGAGTGGGGATTATCAGCTGATGATGTAGAATTCAGAACTGGAAATTGAATGATGGTAGGATAAACAATTCAGAAAGTTTTGCAAAGTGGGTGTCACTGAGGATCTTGATAATAGCCACCTAATGGGATGGTTTGGACAAAATCCAACAGGAGAGAATGGGAAGTGGCAAAGTAAAAACAGTGAATATAGACATGTTTTCGAGAATAATTGAAATAAAAATGAGATGAAATATAGAGCAAGAGGTGGAAGAAAATATATGACAAGGGATTTTTAAGAGGTGTCATGGAACAGGTTTCCTAGGTGCTATGTCAAGATTGGTATTTGTTTATAGGTGGTTTCTTGGAAGTTCCCTTAGCAGCAATGACTGATTGGAGGAATAGGAAGGAGAAAGTGGCAGAGGGAGGATTTTGGTGGTGATGTAACTACAAGAGCAATTGAAGCAGATCAAAGAGCTCTGAGGCTACGATGGATCTCCAGATATATTTCAAGTTGAGGCAAGAAAGCCAGGTATTTGTGTGCTGAATTGACCAGTCATTGGATGCAGGCAGACCTTGAGCTCTTTCTGCCCTCCAGCTGAACAAGATAAGTTTTTCATTACATTCTTACAAAGAGGCAGTGTCTAAATTGGTGATCAGTCACTCTCAGCCTTTTATTATCTTTTTCCAACGTATCGAAATTCTCTGGTGTCAACTAACTGATTTCATAGACCTTATAATTATGACTTCCTCCAACTTCTCAAACACCTGAGCTATTGCCGAAGCCAGTTCATCCACCAGCTGTATCTCATGCCAGTTTACCACTAATAACGTTTTTGGACAGTTTTACTAATGCATTACGTCACAGTCTATCGACTCGTCACCAATCAATAATGGTACTCAGTTGACTGGCGGGTGATCCAGCTCAAACATTTTTAGAGACTGCTTCTTAGGACCACCGTCAATGTTGACCTCCAAGGAAGAAAATTAAGATGGAGATATGTGTGCAGTTTGCAAGAGAATTATTAAAGTGGGATTGAATAGAGACAGGCATTGAACTGAGATTAATTTGCCTTCAGTTAATTCCAGAAAGAGGTCTGCAACTGTGGTACTCTTTAAAGCAGCAGATTTCAACTGGAGATGGTTTTTTTTTTTAGGGGACATGTGGAACTGTCTGGAGACAATTTTGATTGCTGTAAGTGGAGAGGGGTGCTGCTGCTTTCCAGTGAGAAAGGCCAGAGATGCTCCTGAACATTCTCAGTGTACAGGACAGCCCCTCCCAACAAAGAGTTATCCCGCCCTAAATGCTAATAGTGTTGAGTTGGAGAAACTCTGATTTATAGATGTCTCTAATCAAAGCAAGGACCAGAGCCTCTGTACACTTTCAGTTGTTTTGTGTTGCCCCCAGGGAGAGGTAAAATGTTGGACAAGGCTGCTTTCTCACCCTTACTGAAATTCCCCGATTAAGGCGCTTCTGCGAGTGTGAGCAGCCTATGCTCCTGGCAGGGGAATGAGGAACTCAGCCTCAAAGGGAAAGATCAGGGTGCATCATCTACTACATGATGATCATATGCTAATAGCATGATTTCTCTGTATCTATTTCTACCAGTTGCTGAGGGAGCCAGAAAGAACATGACCTCAGGTCTGGCTTGTAGAGCACAAACAAAGCTGAAGATTGCTGAACAGCCAAACAGGTTCAAAATTAATTGTACTTGCGATGTTTGGCTCTTCCCTGAGCTGAGCAGTTGGCCCGGCCTTCTGTTGGCTTTGATGATACTGCTCTGTACCAGCTGAGCTCTGGGAAGCAACCCCTGCTGCAGTTCTTACCAGTCTTTCTTGCTGGGTCAGCATAAAGTCAGCCAATCTGGGTTGGGTGGAACAGTAGTAGTCCCAGGCAGGGATGATGAGCATGCCCTCCTGGCACTGTGCCTTGCTGCCGAGCTTGGGCATTCCAAGTCGTCCTATGATAGGTGCTTGTGAAAGTAATTAGACAAGCACAGCCTTCCTTTTCTCTGCCAGATCCACTGACTTACCTGCATCTGGTTCCAGAGCCTAGCTTCCCTCTGTTTTGATGCAGCACTTATTCTTGCTACTAATCAAGACCAGTCCCTTCTCTTGTGTTTTAGGTTCCAGTCCTTCTCTTCACCTCAATAATGTTGCTTCTATCCTATTATATATTTCTGTCTACTGGACTATTCCCGTTAATATACAAAAATCACCTAATAGATCCTCCCAACCAAAACCAACCAACACAAACCTGTCCCTTTCTCCTGAATGCACTCCAGTCTTGTTCACACTACTACACTGAAATGGCTTATTATGGGTCTCCTAACAGCTTACCATTTGCACCTCCTTCCAAACCCATGGTCTATTCATCGAACTTGAACAGTTGGTAGCATTTGACACACTGAACTGCTTCTTCCTTCCTGAAGCATTTTCCTCTTCCCTTTCCCAATACCCTATTCTCCTGTGTTTTTCCACAACTTATTAGCTGCTCCTTCTCAATCTCCTTTGCCAGTTCCATCTCCTCTGTGAGATGGTTAAACGCTGATACACATTAGGGTCTGTCCTTAGTGTTCTACCATATCTACATTTCCTTCCTAATTCCTCTCCTCTTGGGCCATAGCATGAAATACTGTCTTTGAGCTGAAGACTCTCAAATTGATACAACCATCAACATTCCCTCTTTATACCCGAATCATCAACTCAACTGCTGGCTAAACAGCTCCACGTTGTGTCTGATGGCGCTCTCAGTGTTCACGGGCCCAAACAAGTTTTGAACACAAAAATCTCTCCAGACAACAACCTATGGTGCTTCTCCTTCATCTTCTCAGCTACTTTCTACACTTTGTTCAAGCAAAACAAAACAAAACAAAAGCCTTAAACATAATCTTAGATTTTTCCCCTTTCTTTTCTTTTTTTTAAGAGACAAGTTCTTGCTCCATTGCCCAGGCTGGAATACAGAGGCATGATCATAGTTCACTGCAGCATCAGCTTTCTGGACTCAAGTGACCTCCTGCTTCAGCCTCCAGAGTAGCTGGGAATATAGGTACATGCCATCATGCCAGGCTCATTGTTTAAAGTTTTTGTAAAAATGGGGTCTTGCTTTATTGTCCAGGCTGGCCTCAAGTGACCTCCTGCATTGGCCTCCGCAAATGCTGGGATTATAGGTGTGAGCCACCACACTGGTCTGATTTTTCTCTTTTCTCCTACAACACAACCAGGTGAGTTTTCTTGCCTTTACCCCCAAAATGCATCTTGAATCTAATCATGTTTTACTCCTCTACTGCTATTATTGTGCTAATTGAAGCCAAACTTTGTTCATCTATTCTACTAGCATGGAGATTTCTTAGCAGGTCTCTGGCTTTCCTAGAGCCTCCCCATTCTCCACACTAAATCCTGCTGATATTTTAAAAATATCAAACAGATCAAATAATTTCCCCACTAGAAAATCTCCTTATTTTGTATTGTAATTAAAACACAATTCAGAATGACTATCATGTTCACAAAACACTGTATTATCTGATCGTTGCTCTGTCTTCCACAAACCTGTGAAGTTTCAATTTATTTGTAGCATTCTGGCCATGCCGGCTACAGTGAATTAAAATATTTTCCTTAATTTTTCACTCCCTTCTTCTGTATGTGACTTTGCAATGCACAAAAGTGGGTCAAACATATCCCCCCTCCATTGGATTTGCATTTGGCCACTCATCTTTATTTTCTTCGTGAAGCTGGTGGAATTTTCAAATATGCTTATGAGGGTTGGCTTGGCCTCTCTCAGCTCTGTGGCCAGCCATGGAAGATCATGCTGTAGGGAACCTTATCCTCTTTAGCCAGGGCTCCGGAAGGATTTGTGGAGGAAATCTGACCTGAATTCTAGGCCAAATACAGATCATCCATAAGCCTGAATTAAAGTGGCCCCAAGTGATCTATAGAACTGTGAGCAAATACAAAAAGAAGTACAATTGCTTGTATCTTAACCCACTGAGTTTTGGGATGATCTGTTACATAAAATTACAGTAGTAGTTGACTGATACGCAAGTCCCCTTTCTTGCCTTGGAATGTGCCTAGCTCATTCTAGTCTCAAGAACTTTGTATTTTCTTTTCTCTGGAATATTATGTCCCCCAAAGCTCCACTTAGCTACATCCTTGTTTAAGTCTCAACACAAATTTCATATACAGAGAAATACATTCTCTGATCATTCCAGCTAACATAGCCACTGCCACAAAACTCAGATGCTATATACCATTATCTTGCTTTATTTTCTTCCTAGTATTTGTAACTATCTGAAACTCTTTATTTGTATGTCAGCCTACTTATTGTCTGTCTCTACTCACAATGATTCTATCTCCATGGGAGCAGGGACTGCATCTACTTTATTCACTGTTGTATCTTTAGGGCTTGAAACAGTGTTGAACAGATGAATACATTCTGATGTGTGTACCGCACCATACTCTGCCATATGCAGGTGGGCTGTAAGTACCATTGATGAGACCACTGGCTTTTGTCCTGGTGTGAAGTCATGACAGGGAGATAGCCAACTAGCCAGAGACTACATTTCCCAGACTCCTTTGCATCCAGATGTGGCCATTGAATTTGTTCTCACCAGTGGAATGTAAGCAGATGGGATATGGTATGACTGTTCCATTCACATTTTGTGCCTTCTGCTAGTGCATGTGAGTGATACAATGGTTAGTGAAGCTATAAAGTTTAAGAAGCCTGGATCCCTGAAGAACTGTGTGGATAATAACCTCTAATGAACTAATAGCATGTGTTTGGACTATTTTATGAGCCAGGAATAAATTTCTATTGTGTTAAGCCAGGTCACTAAAGTTTGGAGGTTTTTCTGTTACAGGAGTTGACTTTACCCCAAGTAAGCAAATGATATGGTTTGGATCTGTGTCCACACCCGAAACTCATATCAAAATGTAATCGCCAATGATGGGGTTGGGGCCTGGTGGGAGGTGACTGGATCATGGGGGTTGTTTCTAATGGTATATCATCATCCCCCTAGTGCTGTTCTCATGATAGAGTTCTCATGAAATCTGTTCATTCAAAAACATGTGGCAGCTCCCCGCAACCCCCTGTTCCTCGTGCTCTGACCACATGAAGATGTTCTTACTTCCTCTTTACCTTTCGCCATGATTGTAAGTTTCATGAGGCCTCCCCAGTCATGCTTCCTGTACAGCCCGTGGAACTATGAGCCAATTAAACCTATTTTCTTTATATATTACCCAGTCGCAGATATTTCTTCATAGCAGTGCGAGAACAGACGAATACAGGCAATAACCCATACTTACATCATCCCAGACTTCTCCTTTGTTTCTTGCAGATTTTCCATCATCCTTGTAGAGATTTTTTTCATCTCTGTCCATATTAGGCAACCAGCAGGAACTTCTTATAGCTTCTCAGATATCTTGAGCAAGACTCCTAATGCCTTGCTTCTGATTTGATGTGTTCTAAGAATCCAGATAGTTAAGCATACTACGACTCTGAATACATGTTATTATGCTCTGAGCTAAGTACATAAATTTTGTGATGTTGATTTGGCCTATTATGAGATATTGGGTGGTTTATTCTCTGATAAAGGATAATTGCCTGATAAAGGAAGGGTAATAAAAAATATGGAATTATGTGTTAAATGTAGAATCATGGCCAATGTGCAACTAACTGTTTGGAAAGCGTATGTCTATTGCAATACTTGAAAGTAGAGCAAACGGTTACCTTTTTCCCAAAGCTTGAAAGGAAACCTTTGTGAGGAGATAAAATTTTGCAAAGCTTAGATATATGTTCTTTCTTTCTGTCTATCTATCTATCTATCTCATGTTTACCATCTATCTAATTATCTATCTCAGGTTTGCTATCTATCTATCTATCATCTATCTAATCTGTCATCTATCTCCTGTTTCTGTGCTCTAAGCACAGCACGTGCTTATATATTTATATATGTACCCATCCTACTACGTTATCTATTTGTGTTATACTTATTAAAATGTTTAAATTAATTATCTAGCCATGCGTCATTATGATAATTGAGATTTATGCTGTATAATAAACATTTGTTTTGAAATCTAGTTCAATTTCACAGATGTCAAAAGATGTTTCACTTTCTATTAAATACATACACTTTCCACTGAAAACTGGGCTTGGTCCAAAACCAGGGTAGTATGTGAAGGCATGATATTGGTGATAGAAAGTAGTGAGAAATATCAGAAGCTTTACCAACAGACCTGCTTGCAATCTTGCTGTGTATCATTATGTAATTTACTCAACTTCTCTGAGCTTTGGCATCCTCATCCAAAAAATGGAGTGTAGAAGTGCTGCCTGATAAAGTTGTGAGCATCAAATGAGATGGAAAGTGCTTAATTCAAAACAGTAGAGAGGTGATAATAAAAGAAAATTACTCTGTTTTTTTCTTCTCCTTTAATTTTACATATTAATTAATAATATATAGAATAAGTGGTATGGGGGACATAATAATTTATACCTTTATTTTATTGTTTGAAATAAATATTAATTTTGCCAAGAATTCAACGTGGTATTTGATAATACATCTGTACTGATTAAAAACAGCATTTCTTCTTTTAGATGATACATGCATGCATTTAAACACAACTCTAGTCTACAACTGGGTTGCTATTTTCCACTTTAATTGCAGTAACAATATGCAAATCAACCATACTCCGAAATAAAAAAATAGCTAAGGATAAGGAGGTGATTCGGATTTTTGAAGGCATCCAAGTGTACTCAAGAGAGAAAAAAGTCAAAATAAATGTGAAAAAGTTAAAAGCAGAAGCTCTTATCAACAATAGTCTGGTTCATTTTCTCCTTTTACAAACTAATATTTCTTCTTAATTTTTTGGACTTTTGTTAAGCCAGGGATTCCAGCTTTAAATGTTTCCCAAGATGTGTTTCATGAGAGTTTATTTTGTCTACAGCATCCCCAAGGAAGCTTGTGGTTAATGATGTGCTCCTGCGTGTGCCTGGCAACCAACGGGACCAGACGAACAGAAGAGGCGCCCTGATTGGCTCCTGGGATTACGGCTTTATTAGTGTGCTCTGACAGCCTGTCTGTCACCAGCACCAAGCGCCGAACATTAACTTGAACCTCGACGGCTCCACTCCCAGAGAAAATGGGGGCCTAATGTGTTATAAATCAAGTTGGCTTTTGAAATCAATATTCCTAAAAAAAAAAAACTACTACTGGAAGAAAACACATTCCTATTACTCAGAGTGTTGACATATTTATTAAAGTAGCATAAAGGCCTCTGAGTTAGTCACTAAAAATAGAAATGAAAATGTGACTATCAATTGAAGCCTTAGACTTTTCTACCTCTATGTTTCTCTCTCTCTCTCTGTGTGTCAAATTCACACATTGCAAAGTAAATGGGAGCTGTTTAGCAAATGGCCAGTTTCTTTGTTCAACGGAATATGAAATTCTGGTAGCTCAAGATTCAAGCTTTTGAACAGGCACCATTTTTGGCTGACTACTTTGCCTAAATCACGTAGTGCTCAACGGACCTGGTTGTAGATAGGCTGTACACTAAGAAATCAGTTCTCCTGAAGACGTTTGTTTTCCCAGGTGAATGTATGTGTATGAAGGGCAAATGGGAGGTACAGCAAATGATAGGAGAAAAAGAATATGTAGAAATAGTTCTAATGGAGAGAAAGGCGTTTCTTTCTTCAAATGAAACTTTTTGAGATAATTGTAGATTTCACATGCACTTGTAATAAATAATGCAGTTACCCGTTTCCTCCAAAGGTAACATCTTGCAAAACTGTAGTGCAACATCAGGACCAGGAGATTGACATTGATAAATAACACAGAACATTTCCATCACAAAGATATTTCATGTTGCCCTTTTATAACAACACCCATTTTCCTCTAGCCTCCAAATTAACCCCTGAGAATCAGTAATCTTTCTCCACTTTTATAATTTTCTTATTTTAAGAATTTGGGAAGTTTTTACCCAGTATTTCTTCAAGTACATTTTCAGGTATTCCCTCTTTCTTCTCTCGTTCTGAAATTCTGATGACACAAATGTTAGATCTTTTACTATAGTTCCACATGTCTCTGAGGCTCTATTCATGTTTTTCAGTCTATTTTCTCCTTGTTCAGATAGGATAATATCTATAGATTTATCCTCCAATTCAATGATTTGTTCCTATGTCTCCTCCATTCTGATATTCAGCCCATTCGCTGAGCATTTTATTTCAGTTCCATTTTTCAGCTCTGAAGCACCCATTTGGTTCTTGTTCATATCTTCTATTTCTTTGCTGAAGCTTTCTGTCTTTTCATTTGTTGTAAGCATGTGTGTAATTTACTCGTAGAATGAATTACTTGTACCATGCTTGCAGTATTTTTCATAGCTGCTGCAAAATCTTTGTCAGAGAATTCTAACATCTCTGTCATCTTGGTGTTGGCATTTATTATCTTTTTTATTCAATTTGAAATCTTCCTGGTTCTTGGTATAATGTGTGATTTCTAATTCAAGGCTGGACACTTTCATATTATGTTAGTAGACTCTGGATCTTATTGAAAGCTGTTGATTGTTTTTTTCTGATACTGTTCTGCCAATGAAAGGAGGAAGGTCACCTTGTAATTGCCAGGTGGAGGGAGAACCCCAGATTCCCCCTTGGTCTCTGTTGTTCCCTGACATGAGAGGGTTCCTCCTTACTGCTGGATGTCCACTGTGAGAGTTCCAATTCCCCATGTGCTCTCCACTGACAGTGTGGTGGGGATGGCACTGCTACCCTTGAGTGATGGTGAAACTCCTGACTCTCCACCAGGCCTCCCCTGACACCCGCTAACAGGGAAGCACTTGCTACTGTCCTTACAGGCAGATGGGGGTGGGTGTTGGACTGGGTCAGCCCTGTCCTTACTGGTTCAGGAAGTTTACCACCAATAACATGATTGACAAGCTTTCACAGGAAGCCCATGGTTGAAATTTGGATGAAACAGTTTCCCAAAGTACAGGAGCTAGTGTTACCAGACTTCCTTACAGGAAAAGGTCCTGGGTGGAAAAAACAATAGATACCTAGTATATTCTTATTCAGTTTTTAGGTAATTTTGAATGTTTATTAAAAAAAAATCTTTCTAGTGATTGTGGCCTCTTTAAAAAGGCAATGATAGAGAAGGTAGAATAACATTCAAGTCACATCATTTCTTTGTTCAACATTCACTCATTCTGCTAGTGTTTACTGAGTGAGTACTTTGTGTTGGCAGCTGTGCGGGTATTGGGAACACTGGCGAAAAACATACCACCCGTGTCTCAAGGAGCCTGCCAAACTTTATTGAAGGTTGAAGATTAGGTCTGGAAGCTAGGTAAAGAGCTTGGAATTTTGGGTTCAGACCTTGGTACAATATCTTAATTTTCAAAATTAAAATATATAAACGTGAATAGGCCTACATTTTTAACTGGAATAGTGATTTTCTTTTTCTTTTACTTAATTGTGTTTGGCTCTTATAGTGAATAGGGCAACATGTATTTTTATCAACTTCTATGATCAGAAGTATGCTTAAAAATCAAGGATTTTTTCTGTTTTGTTTTAAACTGTAATTTCATAAAGTGGGTTATCTCTGTTTCCCATTAGAGTAGGCAATAAAGCTTTGAAAAATATTTACAGAATTTAATTTCAAAAAAGATCCATGTAGTTGGTCACCATAATTTACTTTTCACTGTTAGCTTTAGTTTGATACTAAAGACTCTGAAAAAAGCCCCAACTGAAAAGGGAGGACAGTGACTCCCAGTTGAATAATGACCAGGTCCAGAGAGACAGTGGCATGGGGAGGAGAGGAACTGAGAAAGTGAATGCATCTGGCACTTACCACCTGCGTGACTCTAGACATTCAACTCTTCAAGCCTCAGTTTCTGCTGTCCGTTTTCCGAGTTGTACATTTCAAAGGAGGGATGGAGACCATCAGGGAAATAAGGCAAGTTGTCAACTGTACATCAAGCATCAAGAAGAGCTTCATTTGTTCTACTACTTTACAGCTAGTTTATCTTCAAATACACCTCTGAAATGGTCAGATCCAGGGTAAGTTCCCCTCATGGTGACAGAAAATCACAAAGACCATGCTCTAGGTTGAGTATTTGTCCTCCCCAAAACTCATGTTGAAAAAGAATCCCCACTGTGGCCATTTTGAGAGGTGGAACCTTTAAGTGGTGATTGGGTCATGAGGGCTCTGCCTCCCAAATGGATGAATCCATTCGTGGATTAATGGATTAACGGGTTAGTGGATTTATGGGTTATCATTGGAGTGGGGCTGGTGGCTTTAGAACAAGAGGAAGAGAGACCTGAGCTACACGCTCAGCCACCTCACCCTGTGATGCCCCGTGCTGCCTTCACCAGCAGGAAGGCTCCCGCCAGATGTGCCCCTTGCCCTTGGATCTTTCAGCCTCCAAAAAACCAATTTATTTTCTTTACAAATTACCCAGTTTCAGGAATTGTATTATAAGCTACAGAAAACTAATACGGACCAGGTGAGCAGAAACTTGCGTTTGCGTGAAGTTAAAGTAGATGTCAGCTCTTTTCTAGACTGGATTTATGCTTTTAGGTAGAATCTGAGATAACCCACTTACTCTTCCAAATTTTTGATATCTCTACCTTCTTTAGGGCTCTGTCACAGGTTTTAGATACAGTTCGACAGACATTTAGGAAGCACACATTGGCCAGACAGTGTGCTGGATTCTAGATATTAAAAGATGAATTAATATACGGTCTTTCACATCTTTGGACTGGGACAGTGGAATATGAAACATTTGATCCTATTCTTGAAAATAGATTAAATTATTATTTTATCTTTCAATGCTTGATATCTAGATTTAAAAATATTGAAACATGATGTTTTATCCTATTATTACAAAAGAAAATTGTAGCAAATAAAGGAAAGTACCCAAATTGAATCTGCAAGAAGTCAAATCACAATTTCTGCATGTGGTCACAAGCCTTTTATGAAATACGTAATTACAAAACGCCTGGTTCTGTATTCACGCATCATATGCATATATCTATATATCGATCTATACACACACACACACACACATATATATATATATATATATGCATCAATATATACATTTAACTTGTTTTGCAACACCTAACATCTATAAGGAAAAACTGTGCTGTGTGCTTGCCTCACTACAAAGAAATCTGCACAGTGAGTGCCCCGGTCTTTTACTAGGATGTAATGTTATAAAATTCTAGGTATTTACATGAAAAGAGACTAAAACATTAAGGAGAATTTCCTTTTTCTGTTTAATGCAGGGAACACCAAAGGGCCATTTTAAAGCTCTACAAGTGCCAAATAAATTTCCGAAAGAGGTTGTAATGTTTTAAACAAAGGATAACACCAACCACAAGAAAAAGAAATCACAGAAACGAGGAGAAAATACACTTCCTGGCTCTGAAGCTGTTAAACATTCTGAGCCAGGAAACCTCCTTCACCGGGGCGGGGCAGGGAAAGTCTGGCTCTCCTGGGACCGATTCCCTGCTAAGTCGCCTCAAGTCTTCCCTCCCTCTGTCCTCCATTCTCCGCCCCAGTCTCCAAACAAGGAAGTCACAGGAGAATGCCAACGCATACACCTGAAAGGTGTCCGAATGAGACACGGATGCGTGTTTATTTTAAATGCCCACGCACTTAAAATGGGCTGTACTTGTAGGCAAACCCAAGGGATTCCAAACGACGCCTGGAAGTTCATCTTACAGACTGGGGGCCGAGCCTATAAAAAAACAACAGTAACACAGAACCAGGGGGACGTTGCTTCGCTCCGAAGGGCTCGCGGGTGGTGCGCAGAGCCGGTGCCAGGCTGCGGCCGGGAGCCGGAGCCCCGAAAAGGCGCACTGCCCCTTTAAAAGGCCGCGCATCTCCGGGCCGGCCTTCCTCCCCCGGGCTCCAGCTGTGATTGACGCTGGGCGGCGAGAGGAGGCGCCTGGCGCTAACAAAAGTCCGGCCCGCGGGCTAGCTGCGTCGGGCCGCCAGTCTTCGCTCGCTCGGGGCACCCTCAACAAGTGGCCGCCGCGCCCTCCCTGGGGAAGCCGCGGGCGCGCAGGGGCACCCGAAGGACGTGGCCGAGCCTGGGAGCCCCGGCGCCCGCCCGGCTCAGCGCCCACCGGAGGGAATCGGGGCGGGCGGATGGGGACCCCGCGGCGGCGGCGCGGTGAGCCCCTGGGCGGCCCCGGGACGCGGGCTGAAC